GCAAGCTCGCATACCCCCTTATCTAGGTGACACGTCAGATCATATTTGGCGAACTGCGTCCGTTCCGGTACCGAGCGCGAAGTTTCCCGGTGAATACCGAGCAGTGACAACTAGAGTTCCATCAAAGCTAGATCCGTCGCTAATGAAAGAGCCAAGGGCCATTCAGGGGGTGCCGCGACCGGACCAGCGTGGATCTAGAAATCTGATAAGGAAACAGGTTGCCAGTATGCTTGGCCCACCCGCACCCAACAACGATTTCATCTAAAAGTTGACGTTTGATGGTCTTTCTGCAAGATATAAACACTTGAAGTGTAACTTATTACAATGATGCTCTGAGAGGTGAAATATACGAAAATTGGCGTCTTTTCCCACTCATGTACATCGTCACCGCATTATTTAGTTTACAGTTTCCCTCCTTCCTGAATGAAATGAACCAAGCACAGAAGGCGCTGATCGTATTCCCACGGTTCCTGTCATTTATTGATTATCGTGATATCCAACCGCAAACTTTCATGTGTTACTAAAAGACAAAAGCAAACAAGAAGCACGCTCTAGCTATACAACAAATGCCCGTATAACCGCCTCCTAGACGCCTGTCGTGGATGGTTTCCTATATGGCGGTATCTTCTCATATGCATTAGGGCTGGGCTTTCGTTTTCCGTTTCCTTTCCCTCCATTGCCGTTACCACGCCGAACACGGAAATTACGCGAGTCGGCCTCATCACCACTGGTGCTATAAGAACGGCGCACATGGTCAGGGCGAACGTGTAGGTGCCGATTGTGGCCTGTCTGCCCATTGTTGTTACCTGCGACGCCGGCTAGGCCCCGAAACGCCTGATCCGTATCACTACGCGCTGACAAACCATTGTCGGAATCATCATCCGAGGACGAACTAGAACCGGATTCGGAAGACGATGAAGAGTCGTCGCTGGATTCATCAACAGCACGAGGTCGGTGATATATGCAGCAGACTCAGCGTGTTAGAAATTGATAAAATAGACCTGCATATATCACGGGCACACGCTTCACTAGTCCCCTCCTCTTGAGTTTCCTGTTCCACTCTGGTCCTTCGAGACGTCCAGGTCTAACTCGGTTAGGATTCAAACGCACCTTTTGACTTCTTCCGGTTCATCCCCTCGTTGTCGACAACGCCTTCAGCCCACTGGACGTTCTGACTATCTCGGCTACTGGTTCCTTGTAAACGTAAGATGGCAGGTGATGATTGCTGCTGCTGCTGCTGCTGTTGTTGTTGGTTCGTATCGAATGAAGCATCAGGGCCACGAGGTGGGCCACGAATAGTCGTGATAGTTTGGCTGCCTGATGCACCAGCTTGTGGCTGACAGGACAGAAGTTGTCGAGGCGCTATCGGGGTCATCGTGAAAGTAAAGAGGGCTCCGCAGGTAGTTCTTATGTGTATCGCTGGTTACGATTTGATGGTAAGGATGGTGTAGTTGGCCAGGTCTGCAGCAGTGTTTACCGTGACAAAAATTGAACTACTATCCCCGAAATATTCCAAAGCGCAAACAACGATCGTCGGGCGTGCCACTGCAGTGTTGCCACTATTAGTCGCCCCCCACTTGGGATGACTATCCGCCCAAGGACTAGACATTAGTCATGTCAGTTTCGTCAATTGGGGACAGGACGGAAATTTGCATGCGCATGTCAAAAATCAACTACATTAATTTCACTTCTTATAATCCAATTTTGTCTTTTACAGCAGCAAACTTGATTATTTCCTAATCTACGTGTATAAATAGTAGCTGAGATGATATCAGTATTGTCCATTTTGTCGTCCATGTCCTTGGCGCCCTCCTCACTGACCTAATGCACGCATCGAAGCCTTATCCCGCTTTTTTGCACCCTTGAGGCTCATTTTCGGTCGAGCGCGCGTTCTCTTTCTTTTGGTTGATGCCTTCGGCTGAGCCAGAAGCCATGCATTAAGTGGCCTTCGTGATCCGACGAACTTCCCGCCGGGACTGTAGACATCGATGACGGGCCATTGAATTTGACCATGGTGACCCCCAGCATTTCTTTCCTTTTCGCCGACTGTCTCGCCTGTATCCATTGTGGTGTCGGTGTGCTCGGCCACTTCGGGTTCGGAGAGATCAAGCGTCTGAAGTATCTCAGTCGTATTGGTTGCCTGTGCCTCGGCCATCGCCTCCGGCCGTCTACTCGTTCTTTCAGAGAACAAATCCTGGGTGCGCACCTGCGCCACAATTTCGACCCAGCCACAGCCTTCGATTAAGAGGTCAAGGGATACGACCCGGTATGGAAGGCGTTCGACACGGATATTAGCCGCATCTTTTCGTGTGATTGGGCCAGCACGAAGCTTGGTAACGTCGTATTTTAGCTGGAAGGACCCGGCAAGTGAGATATTTTCCGCTGCGTTAGCAACAGCAACGTTTTCCACATTCAGCTCGCTTGTCTGTGTCTGGATGGCTATGGCCTTTTCGGTCATCGTCTTGTGCTCTCGCAAGGGGGAAAAGTTGTACGCCAAAAAAACGAGATTCGGAGTTCGCGGGGTGATGCGGATGAATCCTCCGAGTAAGAGTGACTGCCAGGGGCCCTTAAGAACGATCTGTTTTGGCTTGGCATAAGTCTTCATTACAAGAGAGTTCTTGTGACTTTCTTCCACATAGTCAAATAGAGCTGTTCGTTCCAGGCCAGGAAGATCGATCAGTTCGCCTTTCCCGCTTCCAAATGGGATGCGAATGGGCGACGCTGTCGTGCCAGGTAGCGTAGAAACCACTGGCATTTGTGGATAGTTGGTCTCCGGCGGTCTTGGGGGTAGTAATGTTTTCTCGTTTGTGCTGCTATCAAGGTCCGTATCGCGACTTGCATCGTAAAGTCTAGCCTCGCCTGTATGACCAGAATATAAATCATACCGACCAGTGTTTGACTTCCGCACGAGGAGAAGCGGCTTCTTGTCTTCCACAGCGTCCATGCGGCCCTTTGGGAAAACGTGATGTACCAAATAGCTCTTACCAACGTTCGCTTTCCCAACAAGCCAGTTCGCGCCGCCTCGTTTCCATATTTCTTCTCTGAGCTCGGTTGTCCACCAGTTGCGTCGGGCGCTAACGCAATGCACGTTGCCAAGGCGCACCCTGCGGCCAAGACGACCAAGTGCATCTCGCAAAGTGTCCCGGATCCAAGGCATTAACCTGTCTACCTGGTCTCGCCGTGGTGCAAAAAGGTCTGACCGTGTAATGACGAAACTGAGTTCTGTTAGACGGCTGCCAAAGAACTTGCCAGATTGCGACCGGCGGTTGCGTGAACGTAATGGCATAGTGTCAAGAAGGCTATTTATCCGTGGCAAGAGTGACATGGGGAAGTCGGCGGCGTCAAGAACGTGGTATACATGATTATACTTGTAAGGGGATTCGGCAATAGTTTCGCGAATGGCATTGATATCTGGGTGGTGAATTGGAGTACCAGAGCCGTGGTGGAGAAGATCATGGCAGCGGACACACAGAATTGTCGTATTCCCATCTCGACGGGCAGCTGCTGGGGATGTGTAATTAAGCGGTTAGTGATGTCTTTCAACAGAAAATGATTGACAGCAGGCACTTATAACAGTCGCGTCATACTAATACCGGTATGTTTCGACCCCCCTTGTTGTTGGCGCAAGAGGTTGTTGAAGCGGGCATCCTCGCATCCGTTTTCGACTTCCAACCGGCGCAGTGCTTCCTGGACTACCACATCTTCTTTGCGTACGCGTGGAGTATTCCTGGGATGAAGTCCTAGGTATACCATTGTCGATTGCCGTCCAAGGTCATAAAACCCTGGCTGGTCGGCGTATGTCGTTTGTGAAAATGCACCACACCCCGGGCACTGACTGGGCAACCGTTTTGGCACTCTGGCTCCCGATAAACCTTCCTCCGGTGTTGCACCCGATGCGATGTCTCCAAGAGTTTTTGGTATAGTTTCGACAGCCGCAGCGGATAACCCGGATATGTATCGACGTCCGCGTAAAGCCCGTAGCCAATTCCCAGATTGTCGTGGCGGCTGCGTTAATGCTGCTATAGTCGGGGTTCGCAACACCAATGGGCAAAGCAAAACAGGCGGCGGACCAGGTAGAGTGGAGAGGACCTTATTGTCAATAGCGAAGACTGTTCTAAGACAAGCCCGTGAGGCTCCTCCAACAGGAGGCATTGTGTGCAATCGTACAGATCCGTTGCAAACAGCGGGTAAAAGTCGTCTGGAACAGTTTTCAGAATCAATCCAAGAATCTCGATTTGTATCTAGGACACGCGATAAGAAATTTGCCTAGCCTCCATGTTATGGAGTTTAGCCTTTTGAAGACCGTTATCAGCACGTGATCTCAATTGCTACATTGGTCTGTGCGTGAAAAAGTTATCAGGTAATACGTCGTAACATTTTCTCGCGATGTGGGGATTCATGAAGCAGAGCAAAATAAAAACGAAACGACGACTTACGACGTGATCAGCAATCCAATCTGTTTACACAACACAGCGCGATAGCTAGGGATACCACACGGGATTTCGGCCCACAGCATCTGACAGCTCTACTTGCGGCGGCTTTTCTATGACCTACCAATATGGTTGGCGTCGTCCGTCGCATGAATAAATTGAAGACTGTAAGTTACATTTCGCGGGTGCCGCACCCGCTCATAGCTTTCCGTTGCAACGCCCTACTGACTTATGGCAACGCTTCTCCATATACAGGAGGTACATAAGACTTGAATTCTCGAAATATGTTGAGAGGCTACTGACGCAGTCGACAGCTCCTCCGCCTCCGTCACGGTCCCGGTGCCGCCATACTCCCAAATGAGGTCACAAGATTACACTTGGAATTTGCAAATCGGTGGAACGATGGGCAGTACGGCCCACGGTGAGTACACTACCAGTGAGAGTTGTGGAAACCATGAGACAAGCGTGGTATTCTGAATTAATGTCGGCATGTAGCTGATATGGTGGCCTTGCAGGAAGTTTTGGCAGACCTGTCTTCCTCGCTTAAAATACTGGAACCCGGCCACCCCCATGATTGTTAACCGGACTACCGATACTGCTGGACCAGCGACATTGACAATCTACTTTCGGGAGAAACATGGCAACTCGTCGGATTCCGCATTTCCTATAACTCCGGACATGCAGCCGGGCTCATCTTTCACCGGGTCGTCAAAGGCACCCGAACCCACTGCCGTAGAAAGCACAGTCAAGATTGACATGAAAGGACTTCACTCCGATGCAATTCTACAAGATTTCCTGGCTAAGTCAGGTGCACTCACCGTGTCTCCAACTCCCCAAGAGGTGGCAGAAATGCGCGACGTGGAAGAACGTGCTGAGCGCGCCAAGGTGGATCGTGAGGTCATGGCTAGGTACATATTTACAAAGCGGAGGGAGGCCTCGATTATTGCACAGGCGAAGAGTGAGGCAGCCGCTATGAAACAAGCACTGTAAGGGGCAAGTTACATTCACATTGTTAGATAGAAGATCACGAGAATGCCTTATTATGGAGAATACGAACTACATTCATTGCACTGATACGGTTAGCACCGTCAGCGCTGCCTAATTAGTTCGACAGTCTGTCATGGGGCGGATGTTCTGTTCATCCATACTTGGTCTTTGGGCCTGGATCCCCCTGCCGCACGAGCCACACACCAACCATTCACTCAAACATGCATAAAGCTATGCCTTATTTCAGGCCAAAACCTTCACTGCCATACACAGCCCCCCAAAGCATCGCCTGCATGGTCTCTCTTGACGTGTATCGGTAGAGCGTGAGGACGTTGAAACATGTCCTGGCCGTTGGGAAGCGACCGGTATCGTCACCAAGACAGAGTATTCGAATCGATAACGATACTGGCCCAGTAACCGGAATGCGGTCGCTCCCCGTGATGAAGATTAAAAGTTTCCGTTGGTCTTCTGAAGATGCTTCTTCAAACATATCCCAAAACCACTTAACTGTCGGTTCTGTATCGGCGGGGTTTGTAGAAGGCCAGTTTTCATAGCTTGCAGCAAGCCGTAGTTCAGCGACGTCAAGGGGCTCAGCTGAGCCACGAACGAGAAGGTCAATCTCATCTGGGCGAAACAAGCCCAGTGCGTTGCAGCTACACACCGTGAAGAACCCACGCTTGAAAGGTTCAAATTGGCGGGAAACGGCGGTGTCAAGCAAATATCGGGTGTATAGACGGACGTATTCCTCCCGATTTGATTTATTCACTGCCCGAGATTCTCCTCCGGGACAAAGAGGTATCGCAATTACCTGGCCAAACCTCTCGATAGACACAGTGAATTCAAGGCCAAAGGTAGACTCAACGTCGCCGTTATAGTCAAGTAATTGCTGCAAACCTTTGGCCAGTAGTGGCCGAAACTCTGCAAGATCGACCAATGTGTACGCCATATGAGGGCGTGGCGAAGTCGTCAGTCCCCCGGCTGTTGATGTCGGCGCGGCAAACAGCAGTTTCCTGAAGGCAAATGGAGGTAGTGCCACATCCAAAATAGTCGAATTATAGATGGCCAGTCCCAAGACAACGCCGACAAGGAAAAATTGGTCTGATGTTTCAAATGAAGCAGGATTGAAGTAGCAGTAATGCGAATCTTCATCGTATACAAACATGCCTAGATTTGTCAGGCTGGGGTCAAGGATTTTGAGGGTAAAGAAACGCAGTTGTAAGAGTTACCATGATCAGGGTTGAACAACTCTCTCACCAATAAAAGAAACCATTCTTTCCGTAGCCCCCCAGCATCGATTCCTTCTTCACCGCTAAAGATGATGCGTAGGCCTTTCTTGATGTCATCCGTGCCACTTCCAATGGCTGCGCTGACACCCTTGAGGCTGTCTTCGACGAGACAATCCCGGCGAACAGTCAGAACGAGGTGCTGGTCGAAATTTCTTCGCGTCATGATGCTGTCGAAAAAGGCATCGCGAGCTTTGTTTTTCATTTGGCGACGAGCCTCGTGCTCGAGAATTTGTATTTTAGCCCAAATGCTCAGCAAAAAAGGGTATTGACAGAAGGCAAACTGGCTGGTCTTTTGTTCCCATCCCTCAAAATCAGCGACAAGGTCACAGTCATCCAGCAATGTAATATAGAAGTCAGATGTCGGCAAAATCTGTCGTTTCTGGTGGCCACTAAGTTCTGAACTGTCGACATTCGTTACCTTACCAGGAATCCGGACTAAGTTCTGGTATGCTTCCGAAATATTGTTGGCAGCGAAGAGAAGCCTCAACACGCGGACAGCCGCCTTTACTTGCCAGTCATCGCCGTGTACCAACTTCCTTTTTGTGGAATTCTTGTTAGCTTTTGCTGAACTGATGTTTTGGTTCAAAGCAGCGTGGAAGGATGCCGCTGTCGCGCCTTCTGGAACCTTCGGTACCAGCGGATCAGAAGTTTCTGTTGTCTTGTTTTTGTCCCTTTTCTCGTTATATCGCGCGAGGCGATGCGCCAGGAAGCCACTGACGAGGTCCTTAAGTTGCAAAAACCTGTCTACTGGAAGTTGCGCAAAAAAGGCGATTATTTGACCATGCCACTTTTCAGGAGAGTTTGAAAGAAGGCCAAGAATGCGTTTGATGATGACCGAGTGTTGGCCTGATGCAGGTCCTGTCCCCCATGTTGACCCCAGCCTTGCCTCGGGCCGTTGTTTTCGGTTATCCACAGTCTGTTGTAGTAGCCCAGTGAAGAAACCGCTCTGCGCATGCAGGAGAGGATTTGCAAGGGCGATAATAAGAAAGCGGTAATCACCCACTTCACCAATGCGACGGCCCGGCCGTTTCAGCACAGTCTCTGTGGCTTTGAGCAAGACGCGCTGGGCATGCTGCTGCCCCTTCAAGATGCATGACTCGACTTCGCTGAGCAAAACAGGCGATTGGGGATGGTATCTCCCATTGCCAACAAGCTCGTTGTAAACTGACTCCCATGATGCGCCGGAATTGATCACAGCGTTGTACCAGTCGTCGACCGAACCCCAGTCAACATCACTCGGCATCGGGGCATCAATGCCTCTATTAGATCTGACTTCGCTACCCCGGCGGCGAGAAAAGCCTCGGATCGGTTGCATACGGTGTTGAATATCAGGTCGCCAGGAGCTGTTCTCGGAGATTATTGTAGAAGAAGAAGAGTCATGGCGCTTGTCAGGCTCGAACGGTACTGTCGTGGCGGGCGATATTATTTCCTGGTCCGCTTTTTTTTGGTTTGCGTAAAGACCTTCACATTTGTCTTTGAAGTCAGAAATATTTGTCGTGGGCACAAAAGAACCTTCCAGGCTGTTTATGGAAACGATATGTCGAATGACATAATCTTCCAAAGTCTGAAATATTCTCTTCGCCTCAATTTCCTCTCGCTTGTCTCCTCTTACAGACAATACGTGCGAGGCGTTCGAAATCGGCGATGCCTGCTGAGAGACTCTAGATGAATAAAATATGGCTCCATCAAGCTTCGGATGCCGATGCTGGCCGGAGATATGGGATATTGGAGGAGTACGTGGTCCAATCGGCGCGTCATTGGGAATTGTCTGCTGAGAATTTCGCCTGGGGCGCGAAGGGTGCATATCCACAACGGGCAAAACGGTCTCAAGATAATCACGAATACACTCCGAGACTATGTGTTGGGTTTGCTCGACGGAGATAGGGTACGAAGATGTGGCCTGTGGCTTCCAAGAAGTGGCGAGATTTGCGGTAACAGGCATGAGGTCGTTCACGGTCAGACATATACCACACCGGAATGCTTCCGCTCCACGGGGCCATCGCATGAGTGATCCGCATGTAATACAGGGACCGCTTGCAAAGCTGGGTCTTTCGCTTCGGCCAACGCCAAAGAGCGTTGGAGAATGGGCCGCATCCTGCTGTCCACGTCGAGTCCTTGTTGAAAGTATTTCGCCATCTGTGCCGGATGTAGAAGCGCCAGATCCGAACGACGACTCGGTATGAGCAACCTTTTTCTTCTTCGGTGAGAAAAGGGAGGGAAATGGGTTGCTCAACGAGCGTGAGTGACTGGATCCTGCAGTAGGTCGTCGCGTGGTTTGATAGCTGGGGTCAGACGAGTCCGTTTCAAAATGCAGTTGAGAAATGGTCAGGTCCGGAGGTGCAAGGTCAGGTACGGCGACAGACGCGTTCTGCATATGCTGTGTACGGCGAGGTTTTCCGGATTTCGGTTGTACGCCGCTTGATTGAGATAATGAAACAACCGCCGAGATGTGTGGTGTCGATGTCGAAGTCGAAACCGACGCAGGCGCACATTCGTGAGAGCCAGGCTCGTCATGAACACCGCCATATGATGCTACATCTGGCGGGCGGATCGGTTCCCTTGTCATGTCGGTGGGTTGAATGCACAGTCAGATAATAGACCTGTGGAACGTCGAGCCGTGAAATAGGCCATTCAGTGAAGGAAACGGTGCAAAACTGGTCAGTTTTCGAAAGTTAAGAACGCCCTGTTGAATCGCAAACCTACTAGTTGCTTGATTCTCCAAAGTGGCAACATTCAAGCAGGGCTTATCTCTCGTCCGTCGACTGGCCAACCAGGGAGCAGCGGCTGTTATGAGACTCTGGCAGGTCGAAACCCAAAAAGACAACTGCGTCACTGTCCAAAGTGCCGTGGGGACATAATACATTTTAGTTAGGGGCGTGTCTTTTTTCGAGAACGACGACAAGCACAGTATTATGCATCCGCCGAGCGTGGCTCGACCGGCTTAGCCGTGGGAGCTTAGCGTCCACATGCAAGGATACCGAAACGGCACCAGTCCCACTTTTAGCGATCATTCCGCAGTATCGTATTCACGGGACATGTTCGACGGTATCCGTGACCAGGGTGCAGAACATAGACCACGGAGGCTGGAGATTGCAACCACGATTAGCCCCAGCCTTCAAAACTCCGTGACTAGCATCTGCGCCAGCTTGATATTTATATCAAAGCGACCAACTTCGTCTTGCCGAGAAAGTGCGGCATTCGCTACCTGTCTCCCAACAAGAGAAAGATGGTCCAACGGCCACGTCTTCTAAATCCAATACTACATCATATGCAGTAATTGCTCTGATCAATAGCCACATATGTCCTTCCTCTTAGACACCGAGCGCAAGGGTAACCTAATGTTGCCGTATGCGTGCGGCACCGCCAAATAAGTGCAGACCCAAGCAGGCTTCTTTAACTCTCCCGTCAAGCAATGCCCCTATTTCTAAAATATGTTTATAGATAAAAATAAGGCCCTGATTAACCAACTCTTCCATGTGCTACGGTGCCGCTGACAGTTTATACGTACCAGCCCATAAAAATCCATACCTACTATCTCTTTACAGGTACACTTGGTGCATCCCAAATATGAACCACTACTACCACCTCACACGTTGTCTCGGCCTAGCTCATTCGCTTCGTTATAATGGACTGTTCAGTCACCGTACACCTTGCTGCCTCCTTGCGTAATTTAATTTTCAATGCTGTGTATGGTAACACCAATAAAGTGTTCAGATTTTCCTGTCCTACCGCGGCCGACCCAGTATATCATGCAATGCCAAACCCCGAGTATTACAAGCAATTTTGTCTGTTACTAGATACAAGTTTAGATTTACGTTGGCAGAATCAGTATGGTCCGCCATACGCATCCATTGCCAGCGGTTGACTGTAGTGGCACGGTGATACGAGAAGGAGAAACTGCAGAATCTGAAGAAGTGAAGGAACAATCACTATGGTAAGAATGGGGGTCCTGAATACACAGAGTAATATATGACCTGGCCAACCCCAGGACAAACATATAACAAACCAGAAGTAGAAGGTGCAGGTCGGTGCAGACCCCACGCGATGCCCATTCTCCCACACATTCGTTCGTTCCTTCCTTCCTCGTAAGTGTTCCTCGTTTCTTTAGCCAATTGAAAGGCATCATATTCACTTTGTTCCTCTGCTTTTGGCAGTCGCAACGCGGTCCCTCATTTCAACACTTCACATATCAATTGTTATGGTGGTGGTCAAGTGGCCGGTGGCTCCTTCCTCGTTGGTATTGTTTATTTTGCCCTGGCGACCAGTCGCCCGTCAAATGACCATGGCGTCACCCTCAAACTCTCCCACATCCGCTCTTTTATCCTCAATACACAACAAAGAGAGCGTCAGAGAGGAGAAGTCAACACTATCAGAAGAAGAAGCACAGCACATTTGCTCCTTTGCTGTCGACACCTCGCAAAGGGTGGATCAACCTGGGGAAAATATGGCACCGCGAAGCTCCCAACGCGGCGGTGGCAGATCAACAAACATCCAACGTCGTGAGGCAGATCTCAGTGGGATCATCTCCACCGCACAAAAGACTGAGCTAGTACTTTTGGTTGCCTCTATTACGAGCGAAATGCAGGAACACGTTTGCAAAGTCTTCGACCACCAGCCTTCATCCACATTCTTCCGGCCTGTGCATTATTCCAGCAACTCACACACGAAATCACCACCGCTCATGTCCAGTGGCCGCAATATTGTTGTAAATCAAATCCATGGTCAATATCCGCATGCTATGGGGTTTGACGGTGCACAGGGAGAATTGAAGAGAGAGGCCCTGTCAGCATTCCAGAAATGGCAGGCAGCCGTCACAAAACGAGTGTCTGAGATCCATGCTTCAGGCGATCAAATGCAACAAGCGCCTCAGACCCAGGGGAAAACATTCAACAATAAACAATCTGGTAGGTCGGCCGGTACGGGATTTGATAGAAATGGCGGAATCAACACTGGAAGGGCAACACCAAACGGTGAGTTGAGACAACAGTACAGAGAAACACTGAATGAACGGCTAATAAACGAAGCAGACGCAAGACCAACTCTCGCTGTTGAAGTGGTTCAACGTGGTAATGCGTTAAAAGCACCCGGAGTTTCAAATGGCTCAATTACACAGTTGAATATGGAGAGACGGCAGCATCTCCTCCACGTTCTTATTCTGCTGATTGTGTCTTTGGAAACATACCAAGCTTACTCGCGTACTTTTATGTCCCGCATTGCCGCTCATCTCCGAATTCCACAAGACGTTATGGCAGAGGAGGAATACCGCATCGCCCTGGGTCTTTCGCATGCTGCAAGCAATGCTTTCAACGAAGAAGCTGTTTTCAAGAAAAGTGACGAGGGGCGGAGAGAGAGGAAAGGACGGACTGCCGGCCCAAACAGATCATCCACAATATTGAAGCTGGCACATTCCCTCGATGACGCTAAAGTTGGATCACTTGCAAGAGGTTATGGGCTCGGATCTACTGCCACGGCATCAGTGCTTGGAACCATGGGAACTCTATTGGATGGCGGACTTGCAGTCTGCGTGTTCTTCGGAATGTGTGGACCGCGTGGTTCTTCTGCAAAAACACTGGATGCATTCACGAAAGATGTGCAAGATGTGGCTTTGCTGCCACTCTATGGTGCGCAAAAATTGCAGATTCGCGAGAGCATTATGGTCATGCCTACCGAAAGGCGCCTCCGTCTTACGATTGGTATCAACGGGTGGCTATCCAGTAGGGAAGACGCCAGTGGTCCGTGGAGCACGTTGGGCAATAAGAGTGAGGCCTACACTCTCAAGTGGGAGCAAGAAACCCTCTTCAAAATCGGTGCTTCGATAAACTCAGTCGCTAGCAGTGTGGCATGGCAAAACGCCAAAAGAAACCTTGAAACCCGAAATTGTGCGTTGCCCTGCTAGCTGCGACTTCTTTTGAATCGCCTCCTCAGAACAAATCACGAAGCTAACCAGACACTGTGAGCAGTCCTCGCCAGCCTGGAAACATTAAGATGGCCCAGCAGTCTTTTGAAGATCAGCAAGATTGTCGACAATCCTTGGAGCGTGGGAATGGTGCGCGCAGATAAGGTCGGAATCGCCCTCGCCGACGCCATCACTAACAAAGTTCATGGAGAGCGGGGCGTGTCTTTGATCGGGTATGGCCTTGGCGCGCGGGTCATCTATACATGTCTGATGAGCCTATCTGAGCGGCGTATTTTTGGCCAGGTTGAGAACGTGCTAGTTATGGGTACGCCGGCGCCTTCTTCCGGTTGTGTTTGGACGGCTCTTCGAAGTGTTGTCTCTGGCCGACTCGTCAACGTTTTTTCGGAAAACGACTTCATTCTCGGATTCCTGCATCGCACCGGCTGCATTCAATTTGGTGTCGCAGGTCTGCAACGTATCCAGGGCGTATACGGTATCGAGAATGTCGATGCATCGAAACCAATCACGAACCACCTCAGATACCCCAGCCTAGTTGGGAGGATACTCAAAGACGTCGGCTGGGAGGATTTGAACGCGAACGATGACAGGACAATGGAGAGCCTAAACCATAGCAGCTGCGAGCCAGAGTCTTACATGGAGACTAAAACACCCCAACCAACAGGAGCATCAACGCAGCACCTGGTGGCAAAAGAAGGAAAGAAAAGGGCAGGTAGGAGAAAAACGGACGCTCCGCTTCACGCCATGAGCAATGTTCGTTGAGTAAAATGTGAAAAAAACGACCGAACCTGTTGCAGCCACTTGCATCTCGTTGAGAACAGGAAGCTAGGTACTACTCGTTAGTTAGCATCGTTACACGCTTTGTCAAATAACGTACCTATCACTGTTGGCACGAGGAGGCCAGATTATATCCCTCGGTCGGCTAACTTAGCCATAATTGATAGCTTTCATGATGTTAGATTATTGTTACGTGTTACCGACAACGATATACTTCCCCACCTTCCGGGATGCCGTTTCCGAAATGGTCCAGGCTCCGGACTTCATCGCATCTGCAATATCCCTACGCCTCCGAGGGCGTCTATGGCGGCCAAAGTATTCCTCCCGCACCAAAAATTTCGCAACCCCCTTCACGCCTATTGTCCGCTCCTTCAAAGAACATTGTGTCTCGTCACAAATAGCTTGCAATGGAAGGCTTCCGGTCGCATCGAAATTTTGAATGTCGTGTACAAAATTTAATTGTGTTCGCAGTGCTTTCAGCTTGGCTGCTTGCTCTTGGGGGGAAGAAGTAACTGGAAGAGCGGAGAGCCGGAGGAGACGGCGAAGATTTGAGAGAGTGACTTCAGAAACTAGCCCGTCTGGCACACCTTTACCCTCAGCTGAAAAATCGAAGAGAGACCAAGTCGGCAGTTGCAAGAGTCTTGTCACGTTCACGTTGTTGTTCGCGGACGTTCTGTCATTGCTGGATTCACTTGACACGGCTCGCATCGAAACGGACAAAAAGTCGCAAGTTTCTCGTGTCTTACTTCGCATTTTCGAAGTGATTGGCGTCGATATTGTGTGAATGGAAAACATTGTTGGTGGGCGGCGTGTAGAAAGGAATAGAAAATATCGCAGTCCAATCGAGTTCAAATTTGAATACAAGATTCATGGTCTGCACGACATAATCTGAACGCGTGCCAAACGTCGTCGAATCATAATTACTTTCAATGTGCACAATGTCATGTTTGGCGCACTAAGGACTTATTATATAATCCGATGCAACGCACTGTACTTGCACTGTCTCCCCTCTAAACGAAGAGCCCCGCCTCATTGAGGGTTCCATGGCTGCTGGTGTTACTCGTCATATTTTAGGGGCCAACATTCGACTCTTCCTTCACAACATAAAATGTTGCATCGACGCGAAGCTTCCTTTTCATAACGACTCACCGCAATCGGATCCTTCAACATAGTAGTAACTCAACCATCACCATGTCACAAGATCCCAATGCCATTCTACAAAAGGTCCGTATACACCACTGACAAGTCATTCGACACCTTGACAGCCAGCAGCAGCATTGTCGTTTCGAAATGAGAAAAAGTGACCTAACAGAAATGTGTAATACGGTAGGCCGACAAGATGTTGGCCAGCGCAGGTACCGGATTCGGGTTCTTCGGCGGTCGCGAACAGAAATACAGGGACGCCGCAGACCTGTATGTCCAAGCCGCCAACGCCTTTCGCATGCAAAATTTGAGTACGTACTTTTGCCGCTCACTGCATTCCGAAATCATTGATAAACTGCAACAGGATGGTCAACTCTGCCAATCAACATCGTGCCCTACTAACTGAGCGGTTGTGCTAGATCGCGAAGCTGGGAAAGCTTTTGAGGCTGCCGTTCCCATCCAAAGACAAAAGTTAGACGAGCCGGATGAAGCGGCAAACTCGTTGCTCAGTGCTTTCAAGGTGTATCGGGAGAAGAATCCGGAGGATGCTGCCAGATGCCTTGAAGACGCCATCCAATACTACACCTCCCATGGCAATTTCCGGCGGGCCGCAAAGCAGAAAGAAGATCTAGGTGAACTCTACGAGGAACTCCAGATGTCAGAACGCGCACTTCACAGCTACGAAAAGGCAGCTGCTTGGTACGAAACTGATGGCGCTCAAGCGTAAGTTTTTATCGTATTTGGCTCACGGATGACTTACATGCTAACCCTTACGGAACTGATAGGCTGGCAAACAAAAACTGGCTCAAGGTGGCTGAACTCTCCGCTGTCACAGAGAAGCACGACTACTACAAATCCATCGAGATCTTTGAACGGGTTGCCCAAAAATCCATTTCAAGCAACCTCATGCGCTACTCCGTGAAGGAGTATTTTCTGAAGGCCGGCCTCTGCCACCTAGCCACTGGCGACATCATCGCTACCCAACGTGGGCTCGAAAAGTACCGTGATATTGACCCGAGCTTCGCTACGACCCGGGAACACCAACTTCTTGTCGATTTATCAGAGGCTGTCGAAGGCGGCGATGCGGACAGGTTCTCCGAGAAACTGTTTCAATACGATCAGATGAGCAAATTGGATAAATGGAAAACAGCAGTACTTTTGCAGATAAAATCGAAGATTGAGGAGGCGGATAACGAGTTTTCATAGGTTGCTATAGGCAAAGCACTGCAAGACTTTTATATTGATATAGGGATTTTGTACAACTTACTGTTTGCTTCCCTTATTCTTGTACTATTGCTATGTGTGTGTTGTCCGTCTTAAATTGACTGATGTGAAAAGGTGGAATGTCTCATTGCATAGGAAGTCATTCGCAATTTTACACGTATCCGATGCTTCTTAGTATTACCATTGCAAACAACCATCTCATACCTCAATATCTGGAGACTTTCGAACCACCACAGTGTCCCGGTTTTCCTTATCTTGCATAGGTGAGCAACATTCAAGTCAAAATTGTACCAGGTAATTTCTTTCTGTATCTTCCTGACCATAATTTATGTGTGAAATTAGCAATCATTGAATCCTATGATATTGTCCTTCCGTTCAGGTGTTGATTCTGGTGGTCGTCCTGGGACTTGAAAACTGAAAACAGTATTTCGGAGGCAACTTGTGCTAACGAGAGGTAATGTGCAGGGGCTCATGGCTGATCAGTTCAGAACATTGTTTGGCCAGGTTAGGCTCTCGAATCTTGGCCAAATGGTCTGTATTGAATTAGCGGGGTAGTTATGATTAGTCATTTGTATAAATTTTACTAATTTGCTAATTGTAGATAAGATAAGAGCCAGAAAAAAAGTTCGTTTGCATTTAACGCCGGCGGCCAACGTCGTTTTTTTTTTCTCTTTTTTTGTCTCAACCACAATACCTTGACCATCACGATTTTACAACATGGCAGACATCACATTAGAAGAGAGATTGAACAAAATACGCTCTCCAAATCTTGAAAGCCAAAAACAGGTGCCCTTACATTTATCTTCCCTCGTTGCCCCTCTGACCGCCACAGCAAGTAACTAATGTATACGCATAGACCGCTATCATACTTCAGGCTGTCGAATCGACTCTTAAAGAGCAACATGAGGAGACCACACCAACAGCGTACTTCGCTGCCCTTCTCGGACTTCTTAACCAATCCATCGACCAGGATGCATCCACGAAGAGCCTCAACACTCCCATCATCTACCTGCTTGACCTAGTGACTCCATACACGCCGCATGGTATTCTACGAGCCAAGTTCACGCAAATTCTTTCGGCATTGGCCCCGATACTTATACAGCGAGGTGCAGACGCACCGCTACTTCGCCCGTGTATTGGATGTTTAGAATCGATTTTGCTAGCACAAAACTCCACTGCCTGGGAACTTCCAGCCACCGAGATTAGCCCTCGTCGGGCTATGGTCGGCCTCCTAATCCTGTCTGTCGATCAACGTCCGAAGGTGAGGAAGAGGGCGCTAGAGGCTCTTCGCAAAGTCTTGGATACTCCTCCGCCCGGTCCGACTTTGGATCATCCAGCCAGTGGCATGTGCGCCGAAGCCGCATTGGCAGGCCTGAAAGACCTTGACCAACACACCAGCCAGGAAAAGAAAGACATACACGACGATAGCCAAGCTACCAACAACCCGATTTTGTTTCACTCTCTGCAACTTGTTCGTACGATTGCCTCGTCGAGCTCTGGTTGGCCCGGAAAGAAGATCGATACCCTTTGCGAACTTCTCCTCGGAATTGCCCGGTATGGCAATGATCACATGTCTGTTGCCGTCCTCGAGGTTTTCGAAATCATTTTCAAGGGCATGAGCAATGAAATTACTAAATCAAAGCTTGGCCGTCTCCTGGAGATCATTTCAGAACTCCGCCCAGCTCCCAACGATACACGGCTGCTTCCCCCGTGGATAGCCATTGTTTCCCGCGGGTATGATGTGTCGGCTCAAGTAGAACCTGAGGATACATTTTATAAACTCCCAGAGCTGTTCGATTTGGTCGCCCCTTATCTCGAATCCCCGTCCAGCAACATTCGCATCTCAGCCTCTGAGTGTTTAATCTCTTTTTTGGCCAACTGCGTACCAAAACAAGTCATCTTAGAGCCGTCGGTCTACGATGAAAAGGTTTTGGCGAAGCTCGCCAAGATTGGAGAGGAATTTCTCGGTGTCCAATATCAACTGGCAACGCAAGAGGTCTATAATGTCCTTTCGGCCATGTTTGATGCCTTCCGGTGGCAGGCAGATCCGTTTCTTTCAGATATGACCAAAATTCTTGGTGATATAAGAGGAAGAGAGTCATTTACGGCAAAAAAGGAGGTCGATAAGATAATCGGGCATGCCATCCGAGCCATGGGTCCAGCCTCTGTCCTCAAGATCCTACCGCACAACCTCCTTCAGCCCTCAGCACGACAACCTGGCCGCGCATGGCTTCTCCCTCTTTTTAGAGAATATACGACAAACACAAATTTGGCAGACTTCAAGTCGGAATTTGTTCCCCTCAGCAATGCCATGTTCCAGCATGTTCTTGACAATGGCGACGCCGAAAAAACAACAGAAATAAAAATTTTCGAAACGATTGTTCAGCAAATTTGGTCCATATTTCCCGGCTTTTGTGACCTGCCTCTGGATTTAGTGGCTTCTTTTGATGGCAGTTTTGGCGAGCTTCTGGCGAATATTCTGTATCAACAAGTTGGACTACGATTTGACATCTGCCGGGCTCTGAAACTGCTGATTGAATCCAATCAGGCTATTGCGTCCATCGAAGACGAAGAAGACCTATTTGCTCAGTGCAGAGTTACCAAAGCAGAGGCAGTCGCTAACCTCGACTACTTGGGCTCATTTGCCAGCCAATACCTCGCTGTTCTTTTCAATGTCTACGGACAAACCCTTGCACAGTCCCGTGGTCCGATTTTGCAAACAATCAACGCATTCCTCAGTATCACTCCCAGGGAAGACTTGGTCAAATCTTTTGATGAGGTTTGCAAACTCCTTGCCTCGACACTTCGGAAGGCTGACGGTATGCTTTCTACACCGGTGAATGCGGATGCCCAAAATGCAACAGCACAGGTCCCATCTACAAGCCACACCTTGATTGACCTCGTGATAACAATGGCTTTACATCTTCCAAGAGAAAGCTATTCAACGTTATTCGAAATTGCCGCGCTGGCCATTGTCAAGGAAGACGATCCGCAACTCCAGAAGAAAGCCTACAAGCTCATTCCACGACTCGCCGAATCTGAGTTTGGCAGAGTAGCCCTTGCAGAACGCCACGAGGAGCTTCAGAATTTAATGCTGGCCAGCGCTGAGAATGTGTCTGCCCCTGCTCGACGGGAGCGCCTCGCTGCACTTGCCGCTCTTCTCTCTCTCAGCCCCAACGATACCCTACACTTTATCCCTTCTACACTCTCTGAAGTTGTTATCAGTTGCAAGGAACATAATGAGCGCGCTAGAACTGCAGCGTTCGATCTACTTGTTATTATGGGAGAGAAAATGAAGGCGGCAAGCGGAGTATTGATTGACAACAGCAAAATACCAAGCATGGCCAACGATGCACCATCAGTCGTTGCTAGCATTGAAGAATTTTTCACCATGGTGAGCGCTGGTCTTGCTGGTTCGACACCACACATGATTTCAGCATCTATCACGGCAATCACTCGCATTTTGTACGAATTTCACAGCTTGCTCGACAAACAGGCGCTTGGCGATCTGGTTCAAACCGTCGACCTGTTTTTGACATCGAACAACCGAGAAATTGTTAGTAGTGTCCTCGGATTTGCGAAGGTGTGCACCATCAGCCTCCCAGTCGAGATGGTCGGCGTTCGGCTTCCGACCCTTATTCCCAACCTCATGCGCTGGAGCCATGAACACAAAGGACACTTTCGTGCGAAGGTGAAGCACATTCTCGACCGCATGGTCCGACGTTTCGGATTCGATATTGTCAACAAATACTGCCCTGAGGAAGATCGTAAGCTGATCAGCAACATCCGAAAGACAAAAGAGCGCAACAAGAGGAAGAACCGGGTCGCAGATAAGGCAGGTGATGAGAGTGAGGATGAAGAGGGGGACGATGGGGGTGAGAGAAAGACTCGAGGCAACCGTTTTGACAGTGGGTTCGATGCGGCACTCTATAGCAGCGACTCTGACAATTCAGGCGACGAGGGCGGTGACGCCAGTGCGGAACACCCGGCTAAAGAGAGAAAGAAGCGTGGAAATAATGGCGGGCAGGCGTTCATCTTAGAGGAAGAGGGCGAACCCTTGGATCTACTTGATCGTAAGGCAATTGCCAGCATCTCATCTACGCGGCCAATGAAGATGCGGAAGCCAGGGCTCGGCAAGGCAAAATTCAACGCGGATGGGAAGCTTGTTTTGGGTGAAAATGCCTCTGGGAATGGCAACGGGGATTTCGACATGGATATTGACCAGGAAGATGGCGGAGCGGAGAGTGGCGTCAATGCTTACCTGTCCGCCGTTTCGGGAAAAGATGTCGCCAAGAGAGGCTATCGCGGCAAACTCAAGTGGACCAACAAAAGAGGCCATGGCGGTGATGATGACGATATGATGGATGAGGATGAGGCCGCAGCCATCAAAGCAAAGCTTGACAAGGGTCCAAGTGGCGGCCGCATTTCTCCTCGTGGTAGCGGTCGCAATGGAAGAGGTAGCCGTGGTGGAAATAATGGACGCGGCCACAGTCGTTCCGGTAGCGGTCGTGTTATGTTTGGAAGGAGGGGGCTTGGCGAAGATAAGCGAATGGGTGGATCGTCGGGAGGTGGACGAGTAGCGAAATCATGGCCACAGAAGCGATAAAAATGTGCAACCCGATACCATAGTTTTAGTCCATTCTAGTCTAGCATATTGCGGTAAATTGCTAGACTGATCACAGGTACTCGTTGAAGGAAGATCTCAAACATGTGACTTGTACAAGTAAATAGTCTCCTGTTGTTCGCTGTAGCCAAATATACAAAGTGCCTACAAGGTAAACTGGGACAGCTGATTGCAAAACCAGAACTAAATAAATTGTCTATCACTAAGAAGTAAGGGAATGGGGCTACAAAATGAGAAAAGACGTCGGAAATGACAGCCAGAAAAGGGTACAGAATGACAACTAAACGATACGAACAGTACTAAACTCATGCACTCCATGCAGCTCACGTACTGGCTATGCTACTCGTTGAATTAATGGTACAAACCGACAATCATCTGAACTTGCTAACGACGACCGCGAGAATGAGAAGAACAAGAACCGTGATTATGGAGATGGTAATCACCCGATTCGTAGCCATCCTAAAATAGCACAGACATATGTATTAGATATAATGTCGTATAGGGCCAGATTGCCCATAAGGCTGGGAAGGTCAGGGTCACAGTACCTACGCGCCATGCCACGGAGCGTCTTGACACTCCGGTCAACGTATCCTTCGCTCTCAAGCAGCATGTCCGTTGTGTGTTGGATAACGTTGCGCTGGCGTTCTAAATCGGCGAGAGTGCTCGCGCCAATCGCCTCTGTATCGTTGGCAAGGGCTTGGCTGTTCTTAAGGCGTTGTGTGCTTCGGTCTAGACGGTCGGTACCAGACAAAAGTTGCTGGCGTTGCTCCAGCTGCATATCCGAGCCGCTCGGATTGTCGGAGTAACGGCTGCCAAAGAGGGCAGCACGGTCGTCGGCTAGCCCACGCAGCTTGCGTTTGTATCCGTCCACATCTGATTCGTAGTTGCGGAAACGTTGGTTAATGCGGGTGCGGCTGGACGACGGAATGTTCTGCTTTTCGAGCTTCATTTGGCCGATCTAAGAAAACGCAAATGTTAGTGGCCGTCTTTCTTTAACGGACTGCACCATCAGGCATTAAGACGCCAGAACCCGGCATCAAAAACAAGTGCGCAAGCCATTACCAGCTCATCGGCTTCTTCCACGGCACGCTCAGCCTGCGCAATGGCTGCCTTCCTAGGTTCGCCGGACAGGTCGGGTATCTGGTCGAGCTTCTGCAAAATATCCGCCTGCACAAGTCGGAATTCGGCCTCGTAGCTGCTGAAGAGCTCGGTTCCAGCATCAGTGTCGAGCGGGCTGGCCATTTTGGACGTCGAGTATATTTGCGAAGGTTAGACAGAGGATAGAGAATCGGGGATAGGGAGTGATAGATAACGGATGGACGGTTGTTAGTTGCAAGTTCAAGGTTAACGCGAAATTAGTTGAAGTTATGAAACTTGTATGTCACTTCGAAAATGCCCTTCAAAAAGAACGGCGCGAGGCTCATCTGGTGGGAAGGAGGTTGAGTTTCGGAGGCGTCTATGGGGAGAGAACCAAGCGCCACACCCTCCTGCTGACGACATTCATGCGACGTTTGGAGGATCATGTGGCACATGAGTCACGTGAGTCACGTGATGATAGCGAACTGGTTGATGTACTCCGATACCTTCATGTATAAATTGTGTGCCCACGTAATATCTTACTGCAACGGCTGCCACCTCTCCTGCATACTCTGTAGCCTTGCCTCTACACGCTGTATGTGTGCCGTTACCGCCTGCTATTCTACGCGAGCTTCAACTACGATGGCCCCCGCGGCTCGCCCTTGCCTGGTACGGAGCCTCCGTGTACGGGCCGTCTGTGTATGGGAGGTCCGTGTACGCCGCCGGCACCGTGCTGCACCACTCTCCGCCTCCACCCAAGCCGCCCTCTCTTCCTCATCCGCCTACTCCTGCTCCTGCCATGCCATTTGTGTTAAATACGGCTCTTTTGATTTTTTGTCGGACGTTTTATTTGAACACATGTGCGTGGACCAATCAGAAGACGTATTTTATATTATATAAGCTTTTTCTTATTTGCACACATTTGTGCACCTATGGGGGCCTAAAGTGGCTCTAGTATCTTGTTTTTCTCTCTGGAACCGACCTTTTCTTTTTTGTTTCTTTCTCCTTTTTCCCCTCAAAGTTGATACACCCTGAAATGCAGATAACAGGCTCGCTGCGCACCTATGACTTCTTCTGACGTTTTGCAAGCACAGCGAGTTGTATGACAAGGGGAGATTGATCTACGAAATGAATTTTTTGTGGCGGTGCTTTTAAAGAATTGGATATGGCAATTGAGAGCCATTTCGCTTTCACATCGGTGCCTATCCAGTCCCGTTGAGCTTCGACAGCCTAATGGCAATTCATACTAAATGCAATGCGACCGCGAATACAGTGTTCAGTTTGTTGATGGCTTTGGCCTCATTTTGATGTCTTTGGCTCGCGTTGATGGCCGTGCCAATAATGTAGCATAAATAAACCTCGACATGGCAGCTAATACACGGCTTGGTGCTCTGTGCACTGAACAAATGACTGTTCTATTTTCCTACCGGCCTCTCTGGTTTTCGATGTTTTGAAGCCATCTAGTAACCCGTCATCCCGTGACCTACCTTTTGGGTGAGTGCAGGCTAGTCCGTGCCGACGAAAGCACCCCCCAAGACGTTTCAAGATTGGGTCTCCGAGCGCAACTTGCCGCGTATGCGTCGGAATCCAGTTGCTAACATAAGTACGGGGCGAGGTTGTCACCTGTTCCACCGTTCGCTACATCTCTCTTACTGCCAATCGTTAATTGCATCGACCTACTATCCTCCCACCATTTTCCAAGTTGAGTCTCCATATCGTTTGCCTTGAATCGTTCGACCTGGACAAGCTGCCATGGCAAACCAAACACCGTAAGTCGGAGTCGTCGCACATGCCACATTCTTCATTCTCGGCCAGGACAGTTTTATTGTCATTGAACGGACCAGGTGACGACCACCCGCTTGCTTTCTGCTGGCCGTGGCCTACTAGTCATCATTAAAAAATTTCATAGCCCTTCGCCAGCCAAGGGCCCGGCAGGTCATCCAGTACCAAAGGACGTACTCGGTATTGCAAATGTACACCCAATCCAATTACGGGACGAATACGGCCATACAGAGCCCTTTGGTTTTATACAATCCCTTGGCCAAGGATGTTACTCTGGTCATCATATTGATCGCATTGCCTCTTTATTTGCAGACAAAACTCAGTCTACGATACTAGGCAGACATGCACTACCTTTCTAATACGTTGATACTGTCGTCTCTTAGCCACGCCAACTAACCCCATGTCCAGGAAACGGGTGGCCATCGTCGGTTCTGGCTGCTCAGGCATTGCTGCACTGTGGGCCCTGAAGTCAACAGCTCACGATGTATACCTCTACGAAGCCGCCGACCGTTTCGGAGGACACACCAACACAGTGGACTGGCGACGTGGTAAATATACTACCAAGGTTGACACTGGTTTTATTGTCATGAATACCGCAACATATCGTGAGACACAACCCCGCCTCCCCAGCATGCCCTCGAATAAGGCTCGTGGGTGTACACGCCTGCTGCTATGCTAAACTCAACGCTGACATAGCTCTATTCCCTTACCAGCCAACTTTCTGAACTTTCTCGGTGACATTGGTGTGGCCACTGTACCTACGCAGATGACTTTCAGCGTCTGCCGCGATCGGGGGTCTTTTGAGTGGTCTGGTAGCAACTTGGATGCGCTCTTCTGCCAGCGCCGCAATCTATTCTCTCCACGTATGTGGCGTCTCGTATTTGATGTCTTCCGTTTCAACCAGTTCGCACTGGATCTCATCAGAGACGACTACGACTCGCCACATGAGGGCGCATCCGACGAATCCATTGGAGAGTATCTTATACGCGAGGGCTACTCAGAAGCCTTCCGAGATGACTACCTCATTCCCATGACCGCCGCTGTGTGGAGCACCAGCCCAGATAAGTGTTCACTTGAGTTTCCAGCCACGACTCTGGCTCGTTTCTTGTACGTACTTGGCGCTAGCCCCAACGCCGATTTGACCCTTTGCTTTGGTCATGTAAGCATCAGGAATTAATTTAGTCTGCACAGGTGGAATCACCATCTTCTGTCGACCGTGGCCCGCCGCCCTGATTGGCTCACGATCGGCATTGGCTCCAAGGCGTATATCGATGCTGTCTTGAAAGACTTCCCTACAAGCCATCTCTTCCTCAACACACCTGTGCGGTCTGTTGAAAATGAGCCAGATGGCCGTGTCCGCATGCGTCTAAGTAACGGACAGTCTGAGGTCTATGACCACGTCATTTTGGCCACGCACGGAGACGAGGCTTTCGCTATTATCAAAGGTTCGGCCACCGACGAAGAGAAAGACATCATGTCTTGTTTTCACACCTCCCAAAACAACGTTGTGTTGCACTCGGACACATCCCTGCTCCCGGTGTCCCGTAAAGCCTGGGCAAGTTGGAACTATCTTTCCCACTCCTCACCGACAGGGCAGGAAAACACTGTCGTTGACCGCGTGTCCTTAACATACAATATGAATGTCTTACAACACATCCCAAGAGAAATTTTTGGCCATGTCCTTGTGACGCTCAATCCGCTATCGGAGCCAGACACCAGCACCGTACAGGGTCGTTACAGATACAAGCACCCACTATTCACAGTGGCAGCCGTGCGCGCCCAGCAGCTTCTGCCACGTATTCAAAACACGCGCGGCATCAGCTACGCTGGAGCATGGACCAAGTACGGCTTTCACGAAGATGGTTTCAGTAGTGGTTTGGCTGTAGCAGCTCAGCATTTGGGGGCGACGGTTCCTTTTGACTTTGTTGACTCTACATACAGCCGTGGGCGCAGTCCAGCACCAGGGCTTGTTGACAGGTTACTGCGCATCGTGCTGTGGACTGTGCAGATGTGTTTGGTCGTAACGTTCGAAAGGCTGTTTGGCGTCTCGCGGGCATACCAAAACAAATACAAACCCGACCAGGGGGATCGCAGCATTGCACGTAATGCGAGAGCCAAGAAGTTTGCGTGAGGTATGCGATGGGAGGGATGTTCAGAACGATAGGCTAGCGTTGAGTTGCACCCCAACAGCCAGCTAAAATTACAGCCCTCAGTTCAACTCCGATTAACTCATTTGATGGTTATATTTTGTGCTGCATTCTGCTGCCGTCGCCGTGCCCGTTCATCAATACATCCATGTTTGAAGTGAAGGTCAAGACAATTGGAAACGTGACAGAATGGGTAGTGCCTATCGTCTTTACCCTTGACAAATTCGAAGAAAGTATGTAGGAATAAGTAGGATTATATATAGTACAATTTATTTATTTATTTATTTATTTATTTATTATTATTATCCAAAAAAAGGCCCAGAAAGCTGGCTACCATGGTATCCGCATAGTCCAAGTTGACTCTGTTACTGGCCATTTATGGATTACCGGTAATTACACAACTAATTTGAAATTTGCAGAGTCTTTGGGCCCGAAAGAGCTATGAAGTAATTTACAAGACAGGTCTGTGGAGCACGACAAGGCCCCGCTAACTCAGCCTTAGAAGCCTTTTAAAGCCTGCACTCATTCCAAACCACTAATTACAGCATACCTGCCACAAATCCGCCAAGGCAACTAATCCGGAGTAATACTCCGTTGGCTGCAGCTGTTCGAAAACCCCGTACTGCCCAGTAGTCGGGACTATTGTTACAAAATGGAAATATCGCACGATGTGCCTAAATTTTTACGCTGTATTGCTCCGAACGCACGCACCAAAGCGCAATCCCCACCTGACACCACTCGTAGCAAGGACAACTGGAGCTGCAAGACTTTGCTCATCCGCACAAAACACAATGGAGATTGTATTTCGAGCCGTGCGGCCATCGCGGTGGACGGCACCCGAGCATTGCTTACGGTGCTGGGGATACAGTTGTTTTTTTCCATCCAACCGTCAACCGTTCGCCACCTCAACCATTCAAGGTCATGCCCAGCGCCAAACTCCCAGAAGCAATAGTGCCGCCCCGAACATGGACCGCGTGCGGGCGGTCTACAAGATACGGAACAGGACGACCATGTAGGATATCCCGAGCACTCCTCCTACGGCCGTCAAGGCCTTCTACCGTCCGGGCCCCCGGTGCAAATTGCGTGTCAACAAGCGTTCTGACGGCCGACATATCTAGGTACTACGCCGTGAGCGTTATTCTTGGAACCGTGGCATTGTCATACGGCTCTGTACCCATGTACAAGATGGTGAATCTATCCCCCATAACAACCACGTGCGTCTCACTTGCTAACACTCTTGCTTCGAAAGATATGCCAAACCACGGGCTGGGGCGGTCAGCCAGTTCGTGCACCGGGACACGGGGCTATCGGAGGTGATGGAAGTGGTGATCTTGCAAACCGTCTCCAACCGGTTACAAATGCCAAGCGCATGCGGGTGACATTCAATGCCTCCGTCTCAGACATCCTTCCTTGGAAATTCGTCCCACAGCAGCGCGAAGTACGCGTGCTGCCGGGTGAGACGGCTCTGGCGTTCTACACGGCAACCAACAAAAGTGACAAAGACATCATTGGTGTTGCTACATACAGCGTCACACCAGCCCAGGTGGCACCGTACTTTAGCAAGATACAATGCTTTTGTTTCGAAGAACAGCGTTTAAGCGCCGGCGAGACGGTGGATATGCCCGTGTTTTTCTATCTAGACCCTGACATGCTAAACGACCTGAACATGAAGGGCATAGAAACGGTAACGCTATCGTACACATTTTTTAGTGAGTTCCTACTGTCGCATATGACCCCGGAATGTCGATTCGCACTGCGGCACCCTTCCCGAGACGCAGTGAGCTGACTCTCTGCAGAAGCAAAGTATGATGACAACGGGGCGGCCACCGGCATTACTCAGAAGGAGGCTTGACATTGCGGCCTATTTGTTTCCCATCGGCCGGCAAGAGTCGCTGCACTATGTAAGATTTGTTTAGTCTCACCATGTCGAGTGAAAACACAATTTTCTGTACCGCAATGCGAAGCAACTCGCTTTGTCCAGTGCTCTGTCCAGTGCTCTATTATCCTATGGTACTATGCCGCTCCATTTGTCGTACATGTTTTGCCAGGCAAGCGGCGCGCGGCTTATCGCGGTTCAGGCAAGTCGCTAATCAGCTGGTTACTCTCCACTCCAATTTCTCCGTACGTTGTGTAACCCCATACGCTGTGTGTCGTGGTTCATATTTCGACGGGCTGGTGACATACCAGAACTGGAAATACGTTAAAAAAGTCTCCTTATAAATTAGGGTATTCGATGCCGTAATTACAGACTGAATATGAACGTCGGGGTGCCCCACACTGCCTCATATGAACACTGTCCACCAATGACATGCTTTTAGAGCGTTGGGTTTTCCGCCCTCGTGTCGAGCTGCGTATTTTGTAGTAATATTTCGGCATTATTCCCTCGTGCCACGATTACCTGCCTCCAGCTCCGTCGACTTCCAACCTACCAAACCGACCGTATCTGCCACTCTACCACCCAACACTCCGGCGATTGATCGATAGCTGTCGTCTAGCTTCCTTACAACATCCAACCTCTATTGAAAACCAGCACCGTGCTGTGTGCCGTCTGGAAGCTTCAACTGTTACCAACCTCTTCCGATCTTCCAGAGGTCTCCTCTCGCAAGGGTTCGAACGCTTTGCGCCATCTACCCTCCGACAGAATGCCCGTACTGCACTTTTCCCGGGAACAATGAAGGCTGTTCTTCCGGGTAAGCCAGAGCCCCGACTCCAAGCTCTCGCAAGCGGCTTATGGAGTTCCCAGCGGGTCATAGTTAGTTTTCCAACAGCCCCTTCCGGTCCAGAGGGATTACTTCCTGTCATATTCAAGAGCCTCTCGGTTTAACTCACGCGTGGCTAGGTATATATCACAGGAAACGCAGTGGCAATTCTTAGCGACCATAACATCCTACAGCAGACTATTTACGACGATGATGTCACCCCCCTCGAAGCCGTGGCCTTTGACGAAACCTCGGGCCGGATTGCCACATGCACCGACACAACTGTTCGTGTATATCAGCCTGCAGGCGTGCCAGAGGAACCTCTTCGGGTATGAACACCTTCCTTCGTCCACTTCTTCCAGTTCCCGGTCTTGGGCCTTGGAAATGACTTGAGCTAACATGGATCTTCTACCGCAACAGTGGGTTCTGCAGTGTACCTTCGTTCCCAGTATCCGACCATTGGACAGCAGCCATAGAGACAGTGCAAAAATCGACCGCTTTCCAATGGTTCTATCGTGGGGTGCTTCAAGGGAACTGATTGTTGGACATCGTACGCTGGCACTTTATCATACCGGGCCGTCCCCTGTTTGCTTATGGCGCAAGCCACTTGGAAACGTCGTCCAGCGAGTCTGCTTTTCGTACGACTCATCATACATTGCCTGTGTTGGATATACAGATCGTCTTATAAAAGTCTGGAGGCGCCTAAACTTTGGCTCGGACAATGCAGGGTTCGACTTTTTTTACCTTCGGCACCCACAGCCAGTTACCAACTTGCAATGGCGTGCGCCCTACCATGTTGGTCATACCATTGACCATGTCCTGTACACATTTTGCGTTGACAATATTCTGCGCATCTGGACCAAAGCCGATGTACACAGTACCACGCAACAGCAGCTATTTCTTTGGGGTGAAGTAGATTTGGCCGCATCGCTGCATTCTGCTGCGCTTGACAACAGTGCTTTCGCTGGCAATGTTCAGTGGGCCTTCATCATTCCGGGACGAGATCTGTCTGCTGCTACAGAAAGAGCAGTCCAAGAGCGCGATGAGACCAATGAGAAAAACACGGGTGCCCTCCAGCACCTTGTCGACATAGCCAACAGAAGTTCCGAAGTCTGTATTGTTCTCGATGCTCGGGGCGCATTAGCTGCGATATCCCTAGAAAACCCTGACTCAAAGTCCCCGAAAACAAACGACACTTATAATATCACCCACCTAATTTCGCCTGATCTTAACTTCTCTCATAGTCTCGGATCACCACCAACATTGCACGCCAATCATGTCGAGATTTACACATTTTGTGACAACTCAAAGGGCCATCTCCATCTTCTTCTACATTACTTCACAGGAACGATCGATATCTATGAGGCAAATGTGGCCCTTTTCTTTAATGAGACATCTTCAGGTCCGCGATTGTGGCACAAGAGCACTTGGTCCGGACACTCGGGGCCTATTCGCAAAATGGTTCGCAACTTTAGTGGCGGCGCTGTTGTTTCAAGAACACACAACGGTGAAGGTACGGTGTGGAGCCATACTCACGGCAACAAAGGCACTCCACTGTCACCGAATGCTGTGCTTATGGAAGAAAAGCCAATACGCAGAATCTGTGTCCTGCGGAAAGGCCGGTTTGTTGTGTTTCTCTTCGATTCCAGTTTAGCCGTCTGGGACTGCCGCAGCGGTGTCCCAACGCTCTTGGGCCATTGTGATTACACTATCTCGGGAAAGCCCCTTTGCCTACTGGTTCTGCCACGTGAGAGGGCACAAGATGGCTCAGTTGCCCATATTGCTACAGTGACCTCCGAGAACCACGGTGTCGTTTGGGAAGTTGTTCTTCCGAAACCTACCACTGAGATCCCACCACACCAGCAAAATGTTGAGGTGAAAGGGCAAAACCTCTCTTCCGTCAGCGAGTATTGCAGGTTTGACCTGGGGCATGCTGGGAAATTGGCATACATGCTGCCAGTCGACCCTGCTGGCGCAAATCCTATCATATCTGGTTTCCTGGACGTGTTTGCTCGCGATGTTGCCATCTCATACACAGAAACAGGTCGGATCGAGTTCTGGACTGCCCGTCTCAACCACAGCAGTAAAAGGGTTGAGTGGTTGTCGACGTCGTCGATGGAGACGGGCATCCGTAGCCCATCTCTTGTGAGTGGTAGTACGCGAAAGAAGGCAGCGTTGGTCAATGATCGCCGCTCTGTTGTCACGATCTGGGATATTCAGGGAGCCCAGCTTGAATATGAGAGCAGCTTCGAAAGTCACGATACCGTACAAGATCTGGACTGGACATCAACACCGGACTCGCAATCCATTCTGGCTGTTGGGTTTCCACACCGTGTTCTCCTCTTATCACAACTACGGTACGACTATCTAAACAAGGGCCCAGCATGGGCAGTTGTCCGAGTGATTGATATACGCGGACAAACGCCACACCCTATAGGCGATTCTACCTGGCTCGGCGATGGTGATTTTGTCATTGGAGCTGGAAATCAACTTCTTGTACATGATAGAATGTACAGTATCCCCAATGCCCTTGTCGCTAGCCTCCGTCTTCCACAATCTCGAACACGCAACGACCTCTTCGATGTTGTCCAAAGGCTAAATGGGCCGCTTCCTGTTTTTCATCCCCAGTTCTTGAGCCAGTGCATGCTGGCTGGTAAAAACGAACTTGTGCAGCAAATCCTAATGTCTCTGCACAACGTCCTCAAGCTTTCTGTGCAAGGCGATGCGGTCGATGACTACCTTGGGATGGAACTTGAACAGTTTTACGAAGGCGGACAGGTGTGTATACCCCCGGGTTGTTTTATCGCATCATATACCTTCTCCTATCTTTATCGATAGATGACTAACAATAGCGACTGCAGAAAACAATGTCCCGTGAAAAGGAGAAGAACTCCAAGGCATCTCTCATCACGCGTGACCTGACTATTGACGATGATAGTGATGTCTTCACAGAAAGTGTCGCACAAGCAATCAGTGAAAAACTCATGACTTTTCCCCTTCCCCAATTATCTGGTCATGAGCAGATTCAACTCATGGATATAGTAGAGTGCGCCGGCTTATTGGAAAGGCAACGCCGGTCTATGGACGGAAACGGAGCTCGATATATGCTGTTTTTCCGGCAGCACGCTCTCCGTAAAGGGCGCACAAATGAAATCCACATCGGTTGGAGAGAATTCTGCTGGGCGTTCCACTCAACGAGCCAGGATATTCTTGTCGACTTCGTATCTCGGCAACATCACGGGTCTTTAGTATGGGAAGATGCGCGGGAGAGCGGCATGTTTATGTGGCTAACAGATAATTCTGCGGTGGTGAGAGAGTCCTGTTTACATCTCTTGTCTATCATCCATTTCGTGAAGCTTCTCGCTGCTAACCAATTGTGCCATAGAAAACACAGTTCGAGGTCATTGCTCGCAACGAATACGCGAAAAGCGAGCTGAAGAACCCAGTCGACTGCAGTTTGTTTTATCTAGCGCTTAAGAAGAAGGCGGTGTTGCAGGGCCTATGGCGAATGGCTTCGTGGAACCGGGAACAGGGGGCTACACAACGGCTTCTCTCGAATAATTTTGAGGAGCGAAAGTGGAAGACCACAGCTTTAAAAAACGCCTATGCCTTGATGAGCAAGAGACGATTCGGTGCGCTTCTCCACGTTTTGGTTTTTTGCTATATTTTCCTCTTACTTTATGCTAATACCTGTACCTTCTAGAATACGCCGCGGCCTTCTTCATTCTCGCAGATCGGCTCCAAGACGCAATGAATGTCTGCTTTAACCAACTCCAGGATCTACAGCTAGCTGTCAGCATTGCCCGCGTCTATGAGGGCGATCAGGGTCCCGTTCTGATGCGATTCCTGGAAGAAGTGGTCCTTAATGTGGCTGCACAAGAAGGAAATCGGTGGCTCGCATCTTGGGCATTTTGGATGCTCCGCCGGAAAGACATGTCCGTTCGTGCCCTGATTGTGAGTCTCGCAGCCGGTATTGTTATCGAAGTTGCTGCGCCTTTTGCACGCACTTATACTCATATCAAAATTGCTGACTTATGTGATGCGCTTTACAGACTCCCGTTTATACGCTCATCGAAACACCATGCTCACCCGATATCAAGTCCAAGTTGTTTCTCACGGACGACCCTGCTCTTGTTGTCCTTTATGGCCAATTGCGGCAAAAAACTTTACAAACGCTACGGGGTGTTTCCAAGGTGACGCCGAGGGCGGAATGGGAGCTTGTTTTACACAGCGCACGCCTATACGGTCGCATGGGTTGCGACTTGCTGGGAGTTGACTTGGTGCGCAACTGGGAATTCCTCCTCGCCGGACCGTCTTCCTCGATGGTACAGAACGACGTACGCCCCCTTCAAATGCTTCGCCGTAGGAGCTCGTTGGTCGTTGCCGACCTGCCTTTGTCGCATATAGCAGAGCAAATGCCGGCAGACCTCAATAGCGACGGGGCACCGAAGATGGCGCCAAGTGTATTTGAGGAGCCAGACCCAAACTCGCTCCTTGACAGTTTTGGATTCTAGTACACGCGGATAACGTTAGCTACAACCAGCATTGATTGGCAAACGCATGGCAAGATTCCATCCCGGGACCCGATACAATTCTCAAATTATATCCGCATCCCCGGTGTAATTGGTGTACGAATTCTTCGTACTATAATACATAATTAGTGATTTTTGTACCCTTTATCAAAACCCACAGCGGCGTGTTGACTCTGTGCACTTAAGTTCCATGTAATCTTTTGTCTCTTGTGGTATTATTGGATATTCTGTCGCAGCTGTATTCGTGGCCAGCCAATCACACTACGCCAAGCGGCTTCAGACAGCCAGATTTTGGCCAGACTTCTCGTTAGCTAAGAACATAAAGCGTCATCGTCAGCAGGCCATGAGCGACAGTAGGCTTTCTAAGTCTTCATCCTTGCTCGATCTCGTCACACTTGCCAGTCCACTACATCTTCGTTACTTTCATCTTTACGCTAGTGTCATCGCCTCGTTTCATTTTTAGATGCCCATTCCTTCTAGTATCCTCCGATTCGTGTCGCTGGTTTACGGCGTCTTGTTAACATTTACCCAATAGCCACGATCCCAAGGAGCTCTCATCAACGGTGTATCTAGCAACTGCGCCTGCAACTCCGTCATCGTCACGGCGTCTTCCTCTTCAGAAGAGTTCTTTTGCTGTTGAGTACTCTTCAATCAAATGTCCGCGCTACCGAACACCGTACGGCCCGTCCAGCCTGTGAGCTCTTCTCCTTGCATGCACAATCTCGGGCCCGGATGCCACCTTGCGCCAATACCTCAACCACAACTCGATTCATGGCTCAATGGTATCCCGCCGAGCAATGCACAATTTTTTTATTCGTCCACAGTACCCATCGATGACCCAATATTGATCCCTTCCAATGATTCCACATCCCCGAAACGGCCTCTACGACCTTTCTCAAAAGCAGATAGCAACAGGCTTGAAAGAGCGTGGTTGCAACTTTTCTCTGAAGACGCCAGGGAGAACCATCTTTCAGCAAGGCTTCGTCACAACCCTAGCCCACCAGTCATACAGTCGAACGAAGATACATTAGATATTGTCGTGCGCAATCTAACGGCAAGGCACCGCTTAAAGCACTTGCAGGATAGAGATACCGGGCACGATGCCGCCACAACGGTTAGAATCACCGTGCAGGGAGCGGCAACTGCCATTCCAGTTTGTTGCGAAGACCTGCTTGTCGACACCAGAGGAGAGTTACGAACCCTGTTTTGCCCACTCGCTGTTCAGCGCCGTGCTGAGCTGAGTGTTGACGCCGTGACGAGGAGCGTCATGGTAGCCCTCAACCGTACCAAGAATGACCTCAGCAACACCAATGCTTCGACAGCGTCATCTTCTATGCATCCTGCGGCGGCTCCACCTATAGAGTCAAATTCTTCCGTACCACGAATACGGCGACCGTCATCACAAGAGACAACAAGTCCGGCTCTTGACCCTTTTCTCCTTCGCGACCAGGTCACTTTGCCTACAAGAAGGGGCACAACTGACGGTACTGACGAGGCCGTTTCGCACCTACCTGCACTACCTAGCCCCATTGCTCCTCTGTCCAAACTACCTATCCCGGATGACGGCATTTCTGGGAAACCATTTTTGCGACCGGATATACCAAGCGAATTCGTACGAAGCTCCGCATCTCCTTCTCCATCGTTTCCTGTAAACGAAGTTGAACGCATGGACCCAGAAACTGCACTAAAAACTGTCGGCTGCGATACTGAAATGCATCAGCCGTACTCTTCGTCGCCCCTTCATCAACAGCGTCAATCTGTACATGGGCCGGGTGTTAACTGGGAGGAAAAGGAGACCTTGAGACGCGAGATACAGTCGTCTTCGTTGTCACTAGATCGCATGAGGAAATCCTTTGAAGTTGCTGTTGGTACCTCGCGCCTATACACAGTCGACTTGCCTGCCCTTCAAATGAAACCAATTTATTGGTCCCCGGTGCATGATATAAGTGCCGTCCAAAGGGCCACTTGGTTTTATAGAGATACAATGATGCCGCTTGAAGCCGATGTATCCAACCAGCTGGAATCGCTGTTCAGGGAACTGCGACCATGGACGGAAACATGGAAAATAGAGTTACGCTGTGCGGTCGACATTGGCCCTATCGGCGAGGAGAAAGTGTCCCAGCCATTGTGGCCATCTTCCACGCAGGATAAAACCAGAACAAGGACAGGTCGAGCCCACCCAGTGCCCAAGATATCGAGTGATCCCTTTTGCGCCTCTCACTGCTTTCAAGGCACCGCAGCAGCTGTGGGCACCGTAGGATCTCCTCCTGCTTCATATTCCGATCGGACAACTGCAGGTGACTCAGGCAATTATGCTTCACCATCCGCCTCCGGCGAAAAGTGCTTTGCAAATTACGATGCGATATTCAAGGATGGCACACAGGCTTTCCTCCTAAAGCCAAGCCTGAGACCCTCGGCCTACTACCGCCGGCAGCCTGTTGCAAAAATTTGCAAGGGAGCGACGGTCGGGATTCCTATTGTCAGAGGCTATGATAGAGATGCTTGGAATCGTATCCACAATCAGACACCACGTGGCCTTGTGGCCAAAAGTTTTCCGGCTGCGTCCAGTTTCGACTCGGCCGCTATTGCAGGGAATGTTCACGGTCATCAAGAAGGTGTTGAAGACTGTCCGGGCTGCAGAGCCGAGAAGTTAGGCTGTCAAGTTTCTGACCTCGTACTGGTCATACACGGCGTTGGGCAAAAGCTAGCAGAGAGGGTGGAAAGCTTTCACTTTACGCATGCCGTTAACGGATTACGGCGAGCGGTGAGTGCGGAGCTTAAAACCCCCGTTGTACAGTCGGTTCTCCGCGACGGTCACAGTGGAATCATGGTTTTGCCAGTCAACTGGCGGCACATGCTGTCGTTCGAAGACGGTGGGTTCTCAGAACCCCGAGGCGAGGAAAGGCACGCTAGTACAAGTGGCTTCGAACTCAAGGATATTGAGCAAACTAGCATTCCAGCCGTCCGGAGTATGATATCAGACGTTATGTTCGACATACCCTTCTACATGTCGAATCACAAGCCGAAGATGATCACTTCACTGGTGCGCGAAGCCAACCGCGTCTATCGCCTTTGGTGCCAAAACAATCCAGGCTTTTCTCAAACCGGCCGAGTACATCTCATAGGCCACTCTCTCGGGAGTGCAATGGCCGTCGAGGTGCTATCCAAGCAACCGACGAAAATACCTCGCGTTGAACCTATTCCTACACCAGCCGTATCAAACTTTTTTGAATTCGACACTACGAATCTCTTCCTCCTTGGAAGTCCCGCCGCCTTTTTCCTACTGTTGGAGCGCGGCGCACTCGTTCCACGCCGTGGTCGACAGAAGCCAGGCATGGTTACCCGTAACAACATTGACCGCCGTGTTGTTGGGGAGGCTGGCACATTTGGCTGCCTCGCCGTTGACAACATATATAACGTACTCGCAAAGGAAGATCCTATTGCATATCTACTTAACGGGACCATCGACTCAGCCTATGCCTCCGGTCTCAAAACAGCGTATGTACCTTCGGCGTCCGTAAGCCTTTTCGCCTCTATCAGACAATCTCTTAGGGGTGTTTTCCCGGGAATGCCTACAACTCCTCATCAGGTAGATAACTCTCTCTCTGCCACTGATCTTCCAGCCATCGTACGGCTCCCGTCCCAGGTTGAACTTGAAGTTCATGATTTTACTCGGGAAGAGATTGCCGAGCACAAAGCTTATCTTCTCAACGACAATGGGCAAGTCGACTACTTCCTTCAATCCGGCGGCGGCCCCCTCGAAATCCAATACCTGAATATGCTTAGCGCCCACACGAGTTACTGGACTAACCAAGATCTCATCCGGATGTTCTGTGTCGAAATTGGCCGCCGCCCAGGTACAGATCATACGATGCCAACAATGCGTGCTGTCAAGTCCTTTCAGAGGCCGTTCCAACCGTCGGCCAGGCGTAAATAGTCCTAGTCTAAGAAAATATGGATCAATAGTAAACATCTTATTTGTATACAATCTCTCGAGTGGTCATATTCATATATAGCTATAGCCCTGTATGCGAGGCCACCCGATGAGCTCATTGTACCATTTTCACACTACCTCGATACCTCATGCGCCATCCAATTCCATCATGACCGAGGTCATATCCTCGTCTTCATAGACGTCTCTGTCTGCTTGTGTGCTGCCTGAACCAAGATAACGTGCCATTCCCGCTCCGTTAACCTGCTCCTGGAGCTCCGTTATACGATCAAAATCGGCCTTCTCTTGGTGTTTCTTTAGATCTGCGGGACTCCATGTACTAATACCCTCTTGGTCTTTCGCGTGGAAAGGCTGCGCCATATCCCGCAAAAATTTCTTAGCGTTGCTGACAGCCATGTCAGTACTGAGATTGGCATCAGCTTCCAACAGAGCCTGGTTGATCCATTTCGGAAGCTGGTTCCGTTTCTTTTGGTACCGCCTGTCAGCGAGAACCATGATCCCATAATCGTCCTTCCCACGCAGGACACGGCCCAGACATTGCGCTGCATGCCGCATAGCGTCAAAGGAAAGAAAGTCGTTTTCACGAATGCGGTATGTTTCGCGCAAAAACTCAAGCCGCGCCTTGAGAATTCGCGACTCGGTATACTGGAACGGAACACCGATAGATAGCACAGTACGGCCATATTGGTGGTCAAAATCGATCCCTTCGGACACCTTGCCACGGGCGACGCAAAGTAACACAGCGCCCCTCCCGTTGCAGCATGCTGTTCGATACGTCTCCAAAGCCAGTGAAGTCTCCTGTGCATCAGGAGTCTCGACCAGAATAAGTTTGTACTTCCAAACCTCGTCCAAGATACCCATGCCTTGCCACATGCTGATGATTGACTCCATGTATAGGTATGAGGGGAAAAAAACTACCATACCGTCCGGAGTTATCTTGGCAAACTCGGTCAGAAGGTTGCCATAATTTCGCACGACGCTTGGCTCGTTTCTGACTTGGAAACTAGTTGACATCGATGCCTGGTCACTTCCTCTGGTGACAATCATAGGCAAGAAAGAACGCCGGGCGAGAGTCATACTATACGACTCTTGTACAACCGTTGTAAAGTCAAGCATCTTCGGGTACATCTCCAACGGAGAGATTGTCCCGGACGTTATGATGACGCTGCTGAAACGTTCGAAGACAGGTTTGATAGCAATCGCGGCGTCTAGACATGTGAAGTGGAGTACAGGGTTGGGGACTTCCGCCGTATCCGATTCAAAAGGCTCGAGGATAAGCAAGAAGCCCTTTTCATATGTCGCAACTAGGGTTGCAAAGGTTGCCACCTCTCGCAAAGGCTGGTAATCCTCGATGTTCGTGAGTTCCAGCGTGCGGACAAGAGACGCCAGTCGCTCCGCACAAAAGCGCAAAGGTTTCTTTTCGATGAAAGTGTATTCCTTCAAATGGGCAAGGAATGACGGCGGTGTCTCCGAAATGACTTGCCGCACCTTCATTCGCGTCTATTTTAGCAACCCACGTCAGCCTCATGAAACATTTAGATTTCCTACTGCGGATACGTCAAAAAGCTTCACATCTTCAGCAAACCTGAGCGCTGAAATACAGGTCGTGTACTTGCCTTCAGGTATTCAATAAACCTTTTGAGGAAAGCGACGAAATGTTCGGCCCGTCGGATGTTGCCAGGAACAGCTTCGGTAAGGAGATCTTCGGGTAGTGCTTTAGGGTCAACAACGTTAGAAAAGACGCTCGTCGTCGCCTGATATCACCATCTTGTTTGAAGTTGCGTGTACTTACTTGGATTTGTCATAAAAGCGTCTTCTTGGCGTGCCTCGTCTGCTTCTCTCAACCCCTGAACCAATTTTTGATACTCATTTTCCAACTGCTTTTGGTCCGTTTCACGCATCTCGTTTATTCTCCGTTCCAGGTTCTGTGCCCCTCTTGTAGCCTTGCGAAGAGAATCCTCCGTAATGTCGGTGCTCAGGGATTCAATGCAAACATTGTCAATGTTGTGGGCTTCGTCAAAAACCACAATGCAGTCTTTCGAGAGCTCTTTCGAGACCCTCTCTGCGATTTTAGGATCGAGTAGGTAGTGGTACGAGTAAATGATAACATTGCAAAATTGCATCTCCATGCGTTAGAGGATTGGCTGTATAACATGGCTACAGGATAATTGGATAACTCACCATACGACGAGACGTAAAATACGGGCACTGCTTGTGTTCTTTGCCATAACGCAGAAGACCATCAAGCGTCCAAACGCCGTTGGGAATCAAGTTGTGAGGTTCAAGTTTGTCGAGATTCTAAAGGGTTCAGTTAGTATTGAAGTGCTTATAAATATCGAAGGCTACAAGGAAAGCCGTGGCAAACAAAACGTACGTCGTGGTAAATGCAGACATCGACGTCGTCACCGCGTTCCTTTTTTTCCCTGACAAAACCAGCAGTGAGGCTGCGGCATCGCGCATCAACAACTGCGCCGCTTTTTTCGCGCTTCACGGATGGGTGAAGGCAAAGGTTCTTGCGACTGGTCAGCCCGAGTCCTCGAAATTCTTCTTCACTACCAAGCACCTGCGCTCGGTATTTCATCAATGCTTTGAGCTCAACGAGGGCTTTTTCGATCTCGGACATAGTACCTGTATATGGCGGGGCGCGTCAGCCAACAAACCGTAACCACCATAACTCCCCAAAGGATGTTCGTCAATGGGCACAGGGAAACTGACGGGAGCAATAAATGAGCTTTCGTTGTGTTGGATAATACTGCTGGTATGCAACAATGAGCGACAGCAGAGACACGGTCTTTCCGGTGCCAGATGGCATTTCCAACACGCAGTTACCGCCCGCATCAAGAGTCTCTGTGTAATGCAGTTAGAAAAGTGCATGTCTTTAAGGAGATGTCACATAGAAAAAGTGTCATTATACTCTTGAGGTCACACATGTAGCTTCATGTCAGTGTACACCCTGCGTTAGTCCAAGTCACAACCGGGTGCAAACTAGACGGCGAATGGCCAGAATAGGAAATTAAGGTTCACGATTGCTCACGCATATTGCTCTGCCACGTTATGGTCAGTATATCGGTGCAGCAAATGTGCACGCGGCGAAGACAAAAGAAATAAATTTACCTGGGTATATCCGTGGATACGGAAACAAAACCGGCAAGTCACTTAAGAATCATGCCGTGCGTTAGTTTATTTAGTTCATAATGCAGCAAGCGCAGATGTGGTAGAGGTAGCATTTGTCGAAGGTCTTTAGGCAAGATAATAGAGGGCGGCCGAGCACACACTCGATATTGAACTTCATCGTGCACGAGGCGACACTGACGAGTCCGCATATGTCTCTTGCAGGTGTCGTCGAATTAGGCCGCGAGCTTGATTAAGTTTGTGAAACAGCTAGGGAGGCAAGGATTTGATATCCAGTTGCTAGCAAGGGACAGGTTTGCACCAAAGTCCGTCAAGAAAGTCCACAAAGACTTCTTCGAGACTCAGTGCACGGTGAGCTTGTAGCTAGGGTAGTTTGAGCGCAGATTGAGAACAGTCAAGTCGAGGTCGTACAGCCTTGGTAGTTGCAGGAAGAGAAAAGGCAGCAAATGATGGACACGAATTGCGTTACGTTCTTCACTCCATCCTAGTCGCGGTATCACGTGCCGTTATTTTCGCGTCATGCTGTGGGATAATGTGCATGCCATTCTACAGGAAATGGCAGGCGGGGCCTCTCGGGGCAGCTATCTAGGGGCCGGCACGTGACTTGTTGGACCGGTCAAAAAAGAGCACCACCCAGCTAAAATAATCGATCTTTTGTTGCATTTTGGAAGCAACTAATTATTAAAGGGGTCCCCAGACTAATCGCTGTAAGATAGAGCCGTGCTACTACATGTCTCGAATGCAAACTTCTCGTGTGATTGCCCCCATAGCAGAAACCAACCAGGGACTTACAAAGTTCACATTTCACACGCTGTTAAATATACAGAGTATCGCGGGTTTTTATTATAACGCAATCCAGCCTTTGAAGTTAGGCTACATTTGCCCCAGTCACCCACCAAAATCAATACTGAATAGTACGCTTGACTGTCAAGGCCGTGTCATAGCAAGACCTCCGGATTTCGTGAAACTGTGCCCAATTCCTACCCATGTCCAGGTTCGAAATTGGCTGGTAGCAACGGCTGCCCGTTTTAGATAGAGATTCACTCCGGATAACTCCGCATTACGTTCACTTTTACGACGAAACCTAAGCAGGCGGCTAAGAAAATAGCCCGCCAGAAAACTGCGTTCATAATGGATGGGCCGACAATCGTCTCCCACACCCAAATGTGAGTTCATCTTATGAATACCTACATCGTACACAACGGAGTTTGTTGCCGCATGACGTTGTGGCGACAATTAAAAATAGACGGGTTTTCATTTTCATTATGGGTAGCTTTATCACAGGACAAGCAAACCACGCCGCACGGCTGTGTCCTGTGGTGCTAACGAAGTGAATCCTCCCTGCTGTTCAGGGACCTGTAAAAACCGCGCGCGCCGTACGACCGTAAGATACGCTTTGCGGAAGATATTAAGAACGAGCAGTTCCTTGCATCTTGCAGCCCTAGGCTCCCACCGGCCGAGCTGGCTAGCGATGAACACCAGAGGGTTCTCCGAAACCTACAATGATCTTCGCTTTAGGGGTGGTCCTTGCCAGGCAAAGCTATCAAGGGCTAGATACGCAGATCCGCCAGGCAGTCGTTGGCACCGCACCTTTTTAGGGCATAAAGGATCGGGTCTGTGGCATGCCTCCATGCTTCTCTTTCAACGCCCATCGCGTCCCTAGTCTTAGACATCTTCGGGCCCAACCCGGGTCCAACCCCCAATAGCCCATTACGCCATTGTGGCCATTGCGCCTTGCTGCCTCGAAAATAAAGCATAGACAGTACCCATACCGTTTATTCGGCCTTTTACCGCAGGCCTGATAGACGCTTCAAGTTCGCCTTGTACGCGGCTACTAAGGGGTGAAATATACTCATACCTTAAACTTTTAAGGTAGCGGCAGCTACACTACTGCGCGTTCGTCTCGGTAAGATACGAATGTATTCCCATCTCAAACATTCCAAACTAGGAGGTAAAGGTGCTGGTATTAGTGCCCATGAGCCCTTCAGGAAACGGGTCATGCCACTTGTACCCCGCCGGTTGTTGGTTGTTGTGGGCCATTTGTTACCAAGGCAGGGCTGTGACAGAGTACAGTATCGTGGCGAGCGTGGCTCAGCCGTGTTGCTTCGGTAGCTCATTTACCGATTCACTCCTATGTATCGGCCTTCCCCGTTTTTTACGCACGGGTGCAGCAGTGCCCATTTTCAATACCCCATTCCCACCCTCATTTCCTCGATTGTTGTGCCCTTTTGGCGGGTGATTTTTAACTTTGATAAAGGACGGCCTGAGAGATTCACCACCTTCCAAAATCGGCCGCCACTCATGACATGTTCTATATTGCGGACAGGGATTCGCTTCTACGCTGCCAAATCCTCCTCTGCACCCAGGCTCCTGCGCCCTAGATTTTAATTTAAAAACAGTGTCTTCTCGGCGACCTACAGGAGGTCCTTTAGCCAACCCAACTCAGGCAACACTGCGATTATGTATGGGATCGTTCGCCAAGGCCTGTCGTAAGCAACACAAGCCAAGGCATGGTGCAAGGCCGCCGTTGGACGAACCAACACAAACTGCGGTAAAATTCGGAGTGCGCATCTTGTTTTATCTGGCACAGCTTCAGCCAATTTGTCGCCAATCGCGAGGCAGCTGCCTCCCCTCTCTGTGTAAGTCGTGGTTAAGATAACATATGTCGTTATCACTGTCAGATACGCCGGACAGGCCATTCGTAGAAACCAGACGTCCAATTGCTTTCAAGGGTGGCCGGT